CTAGTGCTACTGCTACTGCTACTGCTACTACTACTACTACTACTACTACTACTAGTACTACTACTAGTACTACTACAACAACAACAACAACTACTACTACTACTACTACAACATTGTGCCGGGAACTAGAGCTTTTAATTAGAAAATACATCTTAGTAATCTTGGTGATCTTGCAGTATTGGTCAGTCTTGGTCCAAGTGCAAGATTGCCAGGAATCTTGCAATCTTCGTCCATCTTGCAATCTTGGTCATCTTGACCTCTTGTCCCACTTGCTCGCCGACTAGTTCACCTTCTGGACCAAGATTGCAAAGTTGCTGGCGGGCCATGTTGCTCGCCCTCCAAGTGGGGCAAGTGGGGCAAGACTGCTTGGCAAACTTGCTCAAACAGTTGTTCTAGATTCCCGGCACACTGTACCATAGCTAGAACTACAACTACTACGACAGCGACGACTACTACTGCCACTAGTGGTCCCGCTGCTACCACTACCACTACTACTCCTACCTACTTTTACTCCCGCTCCTACTCCTGCTCCTCTCCTGCTACCACCCCTGCTCCTACTGCTGCTGCTCTGCTGCCGCTATGCGGCTACCGCTGCCACGACCGCTACAGCTACCGCTGCCACTACCGCTGCTGCTGCTACTGCTACTACTTCTGTTATTGCTACTTCTACTCCTACTACTCCTACTACTACTACTACTACTACTACTACTACTACCACTACCACTACCACGACGATGGCGACTACTGCTTCTAGTGCTATTGCTGCTGGTGCGACTGCTGCCTATACTCCTGCCACCATGTCACGAGCTTCTTGGATGTGGAGCGCCAAGTGAAGACCGTTTTACTTTCCTACACCACAGCAAACCCAAACTCTCAGATCTGAGGCATGTCAGCGAAACTCGCGCTGGACACAGGGCTTGGAGCAGTTCGACGAGATGGCTTCTTGACCTCGTGGAATGTTTTGTCTATATGCGATAGGAGATAAACGTTCCAGTTGTCCCTAAGTTCAACCATTCGGTTGACTGGTGGCAGTAGGCTTGGCAATTTGCATGTCTCACCTTTTGGGGGTTTGGGTTGGGGGCAAGAACCAAGAAGATGCAAGAAGAGATCCTCGACTAACTTATCTTCCCCCCGACCGCATATCTGGCAGGCCGCGCAGCTGCGCCCCGACATCCGTGCCCATACCGCTGCATTGCAATGTGGTGCGAGCTGGCCGAGCGTGCTGGCTGCCCTGGAAGCGCTGGCGGCGCGGCAGATGGTGGCTTGAAGTAGCTTGAGGTTTTCAGAGATGTCTGTGCTTCAAATGAAAGCAAAGAGTGTCATCCTGCAGGAGCCCGACGGCCACTGCAACGTGGTGCTGCTTGGCACCCTGGAGGAAAGCGATTGGGAATTGGCCTTTGCTGCGCTGGAGGCCGTTTAAAGATGCTTATGAGTTCAGGGCTTTGGAACCGGGAGAATGGGCTGTGCTAGAAGCCTTTTTGCGTCAGGCCACGGGCCCGCAGAAGGGATTGGTTTGGTAAGGGTTTTCCATGTCGCCCCTCGCCCCCGTCGCCCCCGGCACTTCAGGGTTTTTGAAAGCTTGCGGTTTGCAGCGCAGCATCTGGATCCGGTACAGCAGAGACGGTCAGCACCTCCATGTCTTCTCCCCAAAACCAGCACCCAGTAGGTCTTGCCGGGTGGTGACACTCGGCAGATTGCCTCGGTTGCACGCGTTGGCGCTGCCCGCTGGATGAGGCCTTTCCCGAACACAGCCCTGGGTTTTGCTGACAGATGTCGTTGTTGCGAACCACAGGCTTCTGCGCAGATCTGTGCTTTCAGACTTTGCGGCTCGGTTCTCGCTAGGTTTACGGTGTCGACAAGGAGGTCACATGTAGACTCGAACCCTCCCCTTCCGCAGCCCTTGGAGGTCATGCGTAAAAAGAAACATTATCATACAAAATGGCTTGTAGTCTTGTGTCCTGCATCCTTGCTGGGTTCAAGATATTTCAACGGAGCAAGCGCTGCAAACGCAAAGCTCTAAGGCTCTAGACTCTAGACCATTTTGAAGGTATCCGAGCGAATCTGGCCTGGAGGTCACAAGAGCTGATGCGCAAGAACTCGGATGCCTCTAACATCTACGTGTACAACGCGTGGATCTCGGATGGTAACACCTCGCTGTTTTGCGATGTAATGTGAGCCATGCGATTTTGTTGCGAACCGTCTGATCGGCGCCGGTTGCACTTGTCTGAGTGCATGTTTGTTTTTGGGTGGCTGTCTATGAAATGGACTTGACGCTCATCTTGGCAGCATGTGTGGCTTGCGGGCCCGATGCCAGTCTCGGCTGCCAAACATGATTGGTCAAAGATATGTTTCGCTCCTTTGACCTGACTGCTTTTGACGAGCTGCAGAGAAACTCAAAGCTTTCAGGAGCCATCCAGTGAGTTCCAATTCTGCACCCCACTTGCATTGCACGATCAATGCTGTTGCCAACCCCTTAGCCCTTGGAGATGGAGAAGTGTAGACAGGGTGCTCGAGGCCCTGGCGGCTTCTGCAGCTCCTTGGCAGCGGTCCTCGGCACTGCTTGGCGCAGCGACGGTGGGAAGCAGTAGCGGCAGTAGTAGTCGTCGTCGTGATAGTAGGAGCAAGTGTAGGTGGTAGTAAGTAGCAAGCAATAGTAAGTGATACTAACTAGCGGTAAGTAGTAGTAGTAGTAGTAGTAGTAGTAGTAGTAGCAGCAGCAGTAGTAGTAGTAGTAGTAGTGGTGATATGTAGCAGTACGTAGTGATAAGTAGTAAGAATGCATAGGAAGTAGGCAGTTGTATGTAGTCCGTAGTAAGCAGTAACAAGCAGCGAGTATTGAGTAGTGTGTAGTTAGTAGTCGGTAACGAGTAGTCGTCGTCGTAGTCGTAGTTGTCGTAGCAGTCTTCGTAGTCGTCGGACGCAGTCGTAGTCTAGTCGTACTCGTGCTCGTAGTCGCGGTCATAGTGGCGGTGCTGGTACTGGTGGTGGTGGTGGTGGTGATGGTGGTGGTACCTGGTCGTAGTAGTAGTCGTAGTCGTAGTCGTAGTCGTAGTCGTAGTCGTAGTCGTAGTCGTAGTCGTAGTAGTCGTAGTAGTAGAAAAAGAAGAGGTAGTAGTAGTAGTAGTAGCAGCAGTCGTAGCAGAAAGTAGTAGC